TGTTTTTGTGAGGGGTTCTTCACTTTTCCAGCCAGTTCTCCGGCTGCCCAGATTTGTAACAGGTGGCAAGTGCATTAGCCGTCTGCATCCTCCACCGGAGGTCGAACAGGACGCGGTCGCTCGATCCTTCCCGTGAATCTCTCAACTCATCTCTGATTTGGTAGAGATGAGTTAGGAGATTGCCATAATGATAAGCCACCACCGTCAACTGCCGCATGGTATTACCATCGCGAATACGTGAGCCGTCAACGGCAACTGGTAGATGGCACAGCCATCGCGATTGCGCGAGCTCCTACCAGAAATTCGTTGCGCCGCCCTTGGGGGCAAAAAACGGTGAAAGCTAACGTACGAAATCAGAGGGCAGCACACGGTGCGATCGCGCGACCCTGCACGTGAGCAATCTCCCAACTCATCTCTGGTTTCGATTAGCTATAGAGAAACATCGTAGAGGGGAATTTCCGTTGTACGTTCTCCGTAGCCATTCAAAACCTCCCATTCGCCTCGTCGCAGAATGAAATATTAGGTCATTTGAAACAAATCGCATGGAATTTTCCGTGAAGTTGTAGATACGTGAATATTTTTAGCTGGAGGTAAATACGACCCAATAATCAATATTTTCTAATAGTAATTATTACTCTTTAGGTTGAACTTTGAAGTTGATTGAAAAAAAAAGTTATTTAAACGAAGAAACCTAAAGTATAAATAACAAAATTAACGTTCTCTTAAATTCTCAATGTTCCCGGTAACTTACGGTATGTTTCACAGTTACCTTCTCCAATTTAATGTTACCGAGTATTGTCGAACTCTAGGCTTACCTACGCTTACCAACACTGCTCGCATTTGACGGTAAGGGAAGAACACTCATGGCGCCCTTTTTGACTTTACCCTTCACTTACCTCATTTACTTCATCTGCAAATGATACAGGCAAAATTACAACGTGAGTGCTCGAGAGTTAAGTTATACTGTAGATATAATTTATATAAGTTTGGAAATGAATAAAAAAATTATGAATGTTCCGTAGAGAACACACAAAACCTAGATGGAATGAGATACCCAACAACATAGTTCGATGTAGTCGGTATGACGTCAGGTGTAACGTACGTGTCACAAGATCAAATCCTGACGGACGGGACGGGTGGGTACGGTTTTTTACGCATACTTTTTTCGGCACATTTTACAGTTGATAGCAATCGCACGAAACACGTTACAGTTATGTAATTTTTTATTATGAGTTCAGCTTTTCATTATTTGTTTCACCGTCCATAAGGTGACTTTAATAAGTAACGTGAAATTAATTAAAATCGTACCATAAGATAACAGTATCAATCTTTCTTATCGTTAGTATTATTATTTAGTTACTCACGTTGCTACCGTTATCTCATTCATTGCAAAAATTTAAATTATAATAATCATTTTGAGAATGAATTAATGAGCTCGGATGATAAAATCCTTCAATTGAAATATTTGTCCCCTACATAGGTAATTTTATTGCAAAACATTTGTCCTGAAATATTCCGGTTCACGGTCAAACGATGGTAATTAGTAAAATTTCAATACATCGGTAAACACCGAATACGCGAGTCGTGGACGACGTGGATCGCACGAGTCGGCGAAAGTTGAAAACAATGAGTTTAAAGTACATTGTTGTTTCGAAGCGACGAGCGCGGAGCATCGGGCACGCGCTGGTGTCACGTATGGAACTCACATGCAGTGAATCTGTGTGAGTGCGATCGCTCCTAAAAATCTTCGCGCGTTTCCACCAGCCAAGCGCCAAGCTACAGGTCGAAGCGTTGAGTATGTGTGCGTCGGCGCCACACTAATAGCAAGTATATGTGAGAGCCGGTATTCCATTTGGTTTTATTTCTTGACAATGGAACAAATTTATTTTATTGGTAGTTAAACAAATTTTGAACTATTAATAAATAAACATCGTTTATGATATCAACTTCATGTCAAACATTTTCAAATTTCTCACCATTAGGAAGCATTCCTTTCGTAAACTAGTATAAATTGAGACCGTGCACGTCTTTCATAATTTTCTCCAATTACATATTCAAGTTGTACAGGCACGTCTCTAAGCTGTAATGGTATTATATACATTTTTATTCATTTCATTAGAATACGTATTAATTATAATTTTATTCATTGTAATCATTACATATGGTACGATGGCAATTCCAGTTATATTTTTTCGGCGCCCCCGGTAATCAGCATCGTCGCTCCCGGACCGGAAGTGCGCTAGAATAGGGGAGATCGGGACAATTTATCCCGTGGGGTAAATTTACCAATGTTTAATAATTTTTCTATTTTTTATGTTATATCATTCTCGATTTTATCATACATTCCTAATCGTATCTCACACATTCGTTGGTACTCGATATCATTTTCTGCGACGTTGTTTATTTGTTAAAAAATAAGACGAAAACTGCAACGAAAGGTATACAAAGTGATACAAAATTGAACTAGTGTTATTGACATTCATTTATGGTTACATGCAAGGCTTTCCCCCTCAAAAACAAATGTAACGTGACCTACACACGATGTGTTATTATTAATAAATGTGTGTATCAATTAAAACTGTTATAGATGAGCGAGGATACAATTCGTGTGGCCATCCGCATCCGACCACTGGTTCGGACAGAAATTGAGAAAGGATGCCAAACGTGTCTCACGGTAATTCCTGAAGAATCACAGATTCAAGTAAGAGGGACTGAAAAAGCCTTCACGTTCAACTATGTATTTGCGCCAGAGGTTGAACAGGATTCTTTTTATAAGACCGCTATTCAAGATATGGTGAAAAATGTTTTCCAAGGTATGCATTTACTTGCCAAATTTTTCCATAGATATTAAGTATACAGATATAAGAAACTTGCATAAAATATTACATTACTTATTTGTAGGATATAACGTAACAATTCTGGCTTATGGACAAACCGGAAGTGGGAAAACACACTCAATGGGCACGAATTATGTCCATGGGGAACAGCCAGGGGTTATTCCCAGAGCCGTGCAAGATATTTTTGCTATAATTAATTCGAAGCAAGACTGGATTTCTAACGTAACCGTTTATTTCATGGAACTGTACCAAGAACAATTATACCATCTGTTATCAAAAAAGCAACGCAACCAATGTATAGTGGATATCAGAGAAGATTCAAAAGGTGTTAAGGTTGCAGGGTTAACGGAAGTCAATGTTACAAATGCTGAAGAAACTCTGCAATGCTTAACACAAGGTTCTTTGGGTCGAGCGACTGGAGCAACGGCAATGAATGCGTGTAGCAGTCGTAGTCACGCAATTTTTACCATCACTATTTACCAGCAGAAAAGAGATGATCCGTAAGCACAATTAAGTAACCGATAAAGGATTGATATTTTCTTTTTCTAAATTGTAAATTTTATGTATATTGCAGCAATACTGCGACAACTGCGAAATTTCACCTTGTCGACCTAGCAGGATCGGAACGCAGTAAAAAGACTCAGGCCACAGGAGAAAGATTCAAAGAGGGCGTTAATATAAATAAGGGTCTCCTAGCTCTGGGAAACGTAATATTCCAATTGGGTGAAGGTGGAAGTCACTTTTACATTGGACACCGTGATAGTAAGCTCATGAGGCTCGTTTTATCGGAAAGTACTAGTACAGTTTTATGGTTAATGTACAGTATCACCGAAAAACTANTCAAGTGCCTCCTGTCCAAGGTGCACAAGTTATTGCTTTTAAGTGCAAACTTAATATTAAACCATTACAATGAATATACGATAAAGATTCGATTTAAGCTCGTTTTATCGGAAAGTACTAGTACAGTTTTATGGTTAATGTACAGTATCACTGAAAAACTATAATAACTGAATATTTTCAACTGCTTATTCTCCTTATAATGATTATTCTAACATAAAGGAATATAATGTTTGAGTCAATGTATAAAATTCCTTCTGTGGTGAGTCCAGTTTTAAAT